AAGAGTGTCTCATTAACTTCTTCCTGAAAGAAAGGCAGGTAGCAGCAATTCTCTGGAGAGGAAGCTGGAGTCTGGGGCAGTGGTGTCATAAGGTAGAAATAGTTTGTTTTTAAGTCTTACCCATAATTTGAAAAATGTTTTGGCTGATGTGTATTGCCAGTTACTTGCCACCATATGATTTAAGTTTATTCCTTTCTACAGAGAGGCGAAAGTGCACTGCAATAGCAAGAATTTCTCTGAGCTGTTTCCTGGCCTTGGAGGCATTGCATCTGTCAAGTGCAATGCTAATGGCAATAAAGTCAGCATCCTTGTTAGCAAGGTGAGCAAAGCTCTTCACTTACTGCCCTGGGACCTGACCATCAGTTAATAGACTGGTGCAGTTCAAGAAGATTACTGAACACACAAGATTCACTTCTCGGAAATAAACCTGTATGTTCTATGCAGTGTATTGGGTCCTGAAATGTCAAGTCCAAGCATGTAACTGAACACTAAAATTAAGGTATGTTAAGGTTTTGTACATGTGGTGAGAAGAACACCCAGAAAAGGAAGCAATATTTCAGTTACAAAAGCTACTTTGTAGCGTTTCAAAGAAACCAAAGGCTAACTTGCTAGAATAGAAAAACTGAGAAATTTTCTGATATTTCTTCCAAAGAATGTTCTTGTGTGATTACCAGTAAACAAAACTGAGAGCATGAATCAGATGAGATAAACATACCATCTGAACTTTACCTTTTTTCCTTTTTGACTGCATGGTTCGGCCAACAACTGTTTTCCCTTCTTGTAGGCAGATGGGAAGATTGATTCCAAGATCTGTTTCTATGATGTTGAAATGGACAAAGTTACACTCTTTGATTTCAAGGCTGAACAGGGAAATGGTAGAGAGAAGCTTTCTTCTGGACACAGCATTGACAGGTAAGAAGCTTTTATTTCGAGAAGTATTACTTGTGTATTTAAAATATGAATCTGCCCTATGAAGACAAGCAACACCTTGATACTGGCATTCCTCTGTCTTTGTGTAGGAGCTTGTACAAATTTAATTATTTTATTTCTAAAGAATTAAAACTGGTGCATTGTATGTCAGTCAGGCTGCATTCCTGTTTCTTCCAATACATGAACTAGGAAGTGTCAGACAAAGGTATCAGAAAGCAAGCTCAAAACAAGCAGGAGGAGGCAGTTCTTCACACAACATGCAGTTGAGCTAAGGAACTCCTTACCAAAGGAAGTTATAGATGATGAAGGAAGGGTTGATGGAGGTATTGGACAAATTCATAGAAGAGGAATGCAGTGAGAGTTATTAGGAATGTGGGAGCCATATTTGACTCAAGAGGTCTCTGAGAGGAGGATGACTGGGTGTTGGTGGGGTATGCGTAGAGGTATTATATGACGAATCAGGATCCTGATCTTAAAGAAAAATCTTGGAAAATCTTGGAAAGCTACTCTTCCATTACGAGTTTACAGGGTAGGAACTGAAAAGAGACATTCTGAAGGTCCTTCTAGGAAAAAAAGTTAATTTTTGTCCAACACAGGATGTTTTCGTATGGCTAAAAACTCATGAAATGTCTATTTAGAATTGACAGCTTTGTTTTCATGCAAGCTGTTCTGTGGCAAATACTTTAGAAATCCTAGTAGCAAGGCAGAAAAATGCAGTGAACTAGGAATACTCATGGAAGTACGGTGGAATGTTAGGATACAAATTCCCATATGGTTTTACAATAGTTTTTCTGACTGTATTTTTCTTAAGAAAAAACAAGTAGAGTATGGTTTGCTTTTTTAGCAACTATCTGCTATAGGTGTTACAAGCAAAAAAGTATTTACTCTTCTTATCACTGAAAAACAGAAGAAACTACACAGCTCATCAAAAACTAAGGACAGTGCAAATTTGGGGCCTTATGTCTTGGTCAGTTATGCAAACAGTGTAATAATGAGCAGTGAGAAAGTTGGTTTTCAAGTGTAGTATCTTGTGTAGCCCAACAGAGGCCACCACAAACTAGTAACACTGTTTCACTAATATTTAAATGCTAGATGGTGTCTGCGTGAATAATCCATTTATCTGTGCTTCATTTTAGAGTATCTTGAAATTGGAATGAGTAAACTCACCAGAAAATAATAATAATCTACGCTTCTTCCCCTTCTCTCTCTCTCCTCCTGAGGCAGAATCTAAACACTCCCAGTGTTTTTTACACAAATACTGTTTTTCAGTTTGCAAGTAATTTATTTTGAGTTCAGTGGCATGGATAGGACATTGTGTATTTCTGCATCCCTTTGAATCTCTCCCTTAATTTGCCTTCCAGCCCTACTCCAATCCTCCCCACAAAGTCCACCCTTCAGTGGTGACAGCAAATGAGAAAAATATTTTAATGATGTCTTTGGTTTCTCTCTTTTAAAAAATTTGACACATATTTATATTCTGTATTTTTTCAGAAGAATCCTAAGCCATTGCTAAAATAGTCTGATTCTGTTTGTCTAGAGTCTTAACATGGCTGGCACTGAAGTAGTATTTAAATGCCCAAAGGAAGCAGTAAAATATTTCTTATTAAAACTGCTGCCAGGGAGTGGCTTTCCTAAGGCTGCAGGGGTTGTCCTTGTGCTTAATGTGCTGTTTCACAGTGCCTTGGAATTCTTCATACACAGTATAAAGTTCAAGCACAGTACTGGGGAAAGGGAATGAACTGTGGCATATCTAGAGACTTAAGTTCCCCAGCTGCAGGTCAGGTTCAGCTGCAACCCTGGAGTTTCCCTCAGCACTGAGAAGTTCAGCAATTCAAAGCATCAATCACGCTGCATACCCAGGTCTCTTTGCTGAGTAGAGAGAGATCTGTTGCCTGAGAATATAAACTAACTTTTTTTTTTTCCCCATCAGTTTAATCACAATTGTCTAGTTTGATCTCTTATGACCGCTGCTTAGCTGGATTTGAGCATGAGGCATATGTACTAGAAACTCTCTCTGTACTGCTTATCTAAATGCACATCAGAGTACTTGTCCTGGTTTCGGCTGGGATAGAGTTAATTTTCTTCCTAGTAGCACGCATAGTGCTGTGTTTTGGATTTAGTAGGAGAAGAATGTTGATAACACACTGATGTTTTTAGTTGTTGCTGAGTACTGCTTATGCTAGTCAAGGACTTTGCAGCTTCCCATGCTCTGCCAGGCGCACAAGAAACTGGGAGGGGGCACAGCCAGAATAGTTGATCCAAACTGACCAAAGGGCTATTCCATACCACAGTACTCAAGCTATCTTTAACCTGTCTGGGCTTTTCTAGCAGTGCTGGCAATAAGCACCTCGGGGCAGGTTGTAAAACCCACAAGAAAACAGAGCTGAGGTTGTCCCCATGCTACAGTACCTACACCAGTAGCAGTTGCTAAGGTATATCGTTTGAAGGATGTTCAAGTATTTCTGTAGGACATGTAATCTCAGTGGAGGCAGATTTTGGGTGCCTGTTTGTATTTGTGGCAGTACCAGCTTTTTTTCTACTGAAATGCTTTATGTCCTACAGTCATGGTTAATGTATACAGAACAAACTAAAAGTGGCATTGCCATGTATAAAGTGTTAGGAGGTAGGAAGATATATATGGTTAATGTTACAGTGCAGAGGTACTGGTATAGATAACTGATCATCACCTGAAAATTATCTCTTCTTTAAGTCCTTTATTTACATTCATGCACTGAATGGTCTGGAATTGTTTTGTCTCCCTTTCTGCATTTTTTTTCTTGTCTTTTGGTAGGTCTGTTGTGGAGTATCCAGAATTGCACAGTCACATCCCTGCTTGCCATTTCTGGGACCAGAATGAACCAAGACTTTTTGTATGTGAAGCAATTCTTGAAACAGGCCTACAATCTCCAGACCAAAAGAAAAAACAGACCGAGAACACAGTATGGTCTTTTTGTTTGTTTGTTTTACCTTGCTTTACATGGAGGTCTCCCTGTCCAAGTAATAAATCATTGGTCCTTCATTAAGGTTGTGAGAGTAGGTAGTATACATTGTCTTGTACATCTTAGTTTGATGTCTGTGGCTTCAGGCAGTCACTGCACATTAGCTTTCTGGTTTAGCCCTAGCTTGCATACAGTGACGAAGAAAAAGAGGTGCTTTCTTTATCTATGCTAGAATTTTGAGGATGATCATAATGCAAGCTTGTACCTGGACTACAGTTTTTCAGGTGACATTATTGGGTGAATTGATAATCTAGAGGTTTGATACTTATTCTCATTTTTAAAAAATAATACAGATTTTATATCTGGAGTCCATTTCTAGCAGCAAGAATTAATTTGATAGAATAACACAGACCCTGCCGCTAAGGTGAACAGTGAAGTACACTCTTCCCACCCAGTTCTTACCATATTCTGCTTTTCTGGACAGATATTGTACACCTTTATGGTACTTCCCAAATTATATTTTATGGTCTTTTTTACATTAGAAAAAAGATTTCATTTTTATTGATCAGAAATTATCTAATCAAAGGTTTCTTTCATCAGACCAACAACTCTTCCCTGCTTCCCCTGCTAATGTGTGGTCCTTACCATTCTGTCTGTACAGAACTGCCTGTCCTTCATAAATATTCCATTGATTTGAAATGTCTGTGTTGATTGAAAGTTTTCTGATTCGTGCATGATTTTAGCTAAACCTCTTCCAATTAGACATGGAATACTCTTTGTTTCTTTTGTGGGTTGAAATGACCTTAGAAAAATCATGGGAAGATCAATGTAGAAAGGAGGAATGGAACAGGGATGTCTCAAAAGGCCTTGCTAGGGTCTTCTAGCAAAGAGAAGAACACTTCAACCTAATATTCCTAATGTAAACAAATAAAAAAATGTTTGGCTTCTACATAAAGTTGAAAAATAAAAAGATACAAAAGGACTGCAACTTACTTTTGACCCTTATTCAACAAAATTTTTAACTGTGTGCTTATCCTTTAAGAAATGAGAAGTCTGATTAATTTTAGTTGGAAATAAATGCTTTGTTTTGACTTGAGTCGGGTCAATATTTAAGCTGTTACAGAAACTATTTTTAAATGGCTGGTATATTCCCTGGGAACTCAAAGCAGTCAGTGAGCTGCTGAAATATAATAGAAATAATATAGTATTTAAAAAAAAAAATTGTTGAAAACAGTTGGGAGTATTTCTTTGACCTGAGTCAGATCTGTCAGAGACTTCTAGGGCAGTAGTCTGTGGCCAGGGACTTCCCTCTTCATGGTTGATGGAGTTGGTTCCTGAAAGGCAGAGGTGGAGGTCCCTTTGCAGTAGGAACAGTCTTCAATGTACAATGAGTCATTGGCTACTTACTATAGGGAGGAAGCGTGCAACTCTGCCCTCTCCAGCAGGCGTGTACATGTGAATGTATATGTCATATTATTGTCAAGAGAAGGTTCTGCTGAGTGAATATGGAAAATAAAAACAAAATGAAAGAAGGATATTGCAGCATAAAAACAAAACAATGCTTTGTTTCCTTTTTCAGATGGATGTTTGGGTTATATCATTCTTCAGTACTGAAGAGCATGGCCTTTTGCTTCAGGACAGCTTTCCATTGCCTTCATCCTACCAGGTTCTTCTGGGCATAGAGGTGCCATATTATTACTTTGCAAAAAAGGTGAGGAAATCTTTCACAATTCCTTCCCTTCCCAGAAGTTCAGACTTTTCACTGCGTAGGGATCAAATGTAACCAAATTGAGTCTGGGGTAAGTAGAGCAACTCCAATGGCAGTTGCTGCATCACATGTGGAAATGACGTAAGATAATCCTAATGCAGGTGTACTTGGCAGTACTGCGGAAATTGTACTGAATTGGCTTTTCATGGGTATTGCAAACTGGATGCGACGTAGAGCATAAGAGACACAGTAATTACCAGAGAATGCAACTGAAAAAGGGATGTGAAAAATATTCTCTACTTTATGTAGTCAGCATGCCTATTGCAAGTAAGGGCGGGGGGGGGTGGGGTGTCAACTTTATGTAGGCCATAAGAGGGGACATTTCCTACTAGCTTCAGTAGAAGCAACCCATTTCTTTCTTAGAATTGAGCTTAATCCACACAGAATACCAAAGAGAGCAAGAATACTCTTCTTGCACTATCACCAAATGCCTACACGCTACAAATACCAGGAATGCATGCTTTAACTTCTTAAACTTGAATACAAATCCAAAATTGTTTGCATCTTAGGTAAGTAAGATGCATGCTGGCAGAGATGAAGCCTATAACCTACAGATCGGTTTTTTTGGTTAAGCTCTGACCTGAGATTCTTAATGCCTGTTAAAATGATGATTTGCACTGCTCCCTTCTTGTAGGGGGAGCTTAACAGTGTCTATTTATTCTACCAAGGCATTTATTTTTGTAAAATCTGCATGAACTTATTATTGATGAGACTTATAATCCTCTAAATCTTCTGAATAAGACAGACCAATGTGATCATGTAAATCTAATTTCATGTAGTTCAGGAGCAGTGATAAACAGGGAGAATGTATCTAGATGTTTCTCTACTTCAGATTCAGAATTTAGATTCAGAGCAGTACTTTGCAATTTAGCCCCCTTTCAAAGAACTGACTGTTATCACTCTTCCTAGCAGATCTAGCTTTTAGAGTTGCACTCTGGTTTACTTTCCTTTTTCCCTTAATTTGAAAGGTCAAAAGTGCTCTGCTGCATTTTCTAATCTTTCTTTTAACACTTCCCCCATCACATCTTAGGCTATTTTACTTGGATAATACACCTATTTTTTTCTTTCCTTCTTTTTTTAACTCTATATGGATTATTGCTGCCATTAGTTGTTTTTTCGGAGGGGATGTGTATATAAACCTGTAAGTATCTGCCATTATTTTGCTCCTCTTCCTTCATTCTCTGCCTGTCTTCTGTTTCCATTTTCTTCTGTCAGTAGGTTACTGTATCTTAGTGACTAAATTACATGTTATATAATAATTCATTTTGGAAACATGATTTAGCATATGAACACAGTCTGATTTAAAAAAGCAAATCGAGTTGATGCAAAAGTATGTTTTGACCAGATTTCATTCCAGGGTTTCTCCTTATTCATTATAGTATCTTTTATGTCCTGTTTCCAGAACTTCCCCAAATTGTAGTCAAACGCATTTGCACTTTTGATTTCTGTCTTTTACTGTATCTAATACTTTCATTGTATGATAATATAGTACAATACTATTTTTTAAGTGGCTTCTGTAAACCTTAATATTTAGTTATCTCATCTAACTATACAATTGGGGTAGAGTACATGTGAAAATTGGTATCCTTCATGACTCAGATGCTCTTCCACTGTGTTTGGCTTGTGAAAATTTCCTTGTTACACCCTAGACAGATCATTGGATGTTGATGATTGACTTTATCTTTATTCTTTTTCTGAATAGTAGTTAAATTGCTTTGAGCTGCCTTTCAATGACTGGTGAAAGTATCACTGAAGCTCCAGAGGCTCCAGAACTGCCAATTATATGGGGAAGGGTTTGAATCTGAGCTTTAGTATTCATAAGCTTCACACAAAGGCAAGAATAAAAGAATTGGGTCTATATCGTTAACTTTCAGAACAGCAGACTCATTTTTGAGAAGAGACTAACCTTAGAGAAATGTTTATCTGAAATCTCCAGAAATCTGGGGACTTAAAATAATAGTTGCTATTATATTCATAGTTATTA